CTGACCCTCAGAGTGCATGCTAGGCAGAAGGGTTTAGCTAGCTTTGTAGACATAGTCTCTCTGTCCACAGACAGACAAGTCAGGAAGGCAGGGGCCTCCATCAGCACAGAACTTCAGGCCTTGTGCCCATCAACACCTCATACGCACTGCGTAAGCACACCGGCTCTACCTAATAACGTCCCCAGCACCATGCGCACACGGACTCTGGCTCAACTGCTTCCTAACTTAAATTTAACCGAAAGGCCAATCATGCTTTGATCTATCCTGCACCAGACCTGACAAGAACAGCTCAAGGCCCGAATCACTGGATTATTGCTGGGCCCGACACCCATATCATGGCACTGGTTACTAACCAGCAAAGGACCTGTCTCATGATATCCGACTGTTCAAAATTATTTTGGTCAAGAACACAGCATATAGAAATGCCACCTAAATAGTGTGGGTCTTTTTAGGAAATCATCTGAGGCTGGGAGAACCCCTGAGGTCCAAGGCTTCATCAGGTGCTCCTCTGAATACTGACTACAGAAAGGGCACAAGCTTAGAAACAAAGCCACAGAACGCCCATCATCTGAGCATTCTCCTTCCTAAAGCAGCAGGGGGAGCACCTTAAGCAGGGTTAGGCTGAAACAACTGAGCTCTCAGTACAACATCAGGCTGTCTGCAGCGGAGGAAAACCGGGGACTAACTAGCCCCCCACCACCCCCCCGTTGCTGCCTGGTCCTAGTTAGTACTGACACTGTGCACTGACTAAAGGCAAGCTTCTGCTGCCCGCTTTCATCTTTCCAGTGTCTAGCAGCATCTAGAACTGTGTGAGGAAAGGTTTTCCCCCAGAAAGGCTTACACGAGTTAGAGCTTTAAGATAGTCATACCCCACAAGCCACAGTAGGCCGTTTTGGCATTTCTGGCGTCTGTGCTCTGCTCAACATTCAGGAGGTGAGAGGGGTGGATACACTGAGGGCCCTTAAGTGGTAATTCCTTCTATTTCCAAAATGAACCAAATCATACACGTACTGCTTTCCATCTTATATTCCCGAGAGCTGACTTCAGCCAGGAATTTATCACACACCCCAGGCACCTGGCAGTCCCCAGTGGTGTTTAAGGGGCTGTTCTACCCAAGGCTTTGAAGTAAGAAAAGCTAAGTAAGAAAAGCAATCCAGTGGCTTTGTTAGGTTCTCAAGACAAATGCAAAGAAAGCTGAAGCCCACTCAGCACACTGCTGGAGAGAAGCCAAGGGCTCAGGAAGGATGGGAGACCAGAACTCCTGGGCTGCTGCAGCCTCCTGCAGACACAGGCCGGCTAAGACGGGCATTTCTGGATTGCTCTGCCTATCGAGGAAGAAAGGCCAAAACAAGGGAAAGCTAGGTTGAGGTGTTCAAGTTGGAGAGGTACTGTGAGTGAGTGAGCAATGGGCCGTGTCTCCTGGCCGACAGCAATCACGTCCCAGGCTTGGGGGTTCTAACACTCACTAAGGGGATGATCTTTAAGGGGAGGAAACACCCGGTGGGGGAGGGGCAGTGAAGAGGAGGATGAGTTGCATTGTGCAACTGCATTCTGGGAGGTCAAACAAGGATGACACAGGTGCGGGGATGCAGCAGTGCTTGCACCTAGACGACCAAACATGTTATGAGACCGGAAGTCTCACCTTCACGTCGTCCAGAATGCCAGGACAGACAATGCATTACCTGTAACAAGCCCTCTTACCCTTTACTGGGCACAGTGGGCTGAGCAAAAATAATGAAGTATCCAGAAAACAGCAGGTAAAGGCGCTGCCACCAGGAGACAAAGAGTTCGTCCCTGGGACTCATGTGTTGGAAGGAGAGGACCAGTTCGTGCAAGGTGTCCCCTGACCCTCACACACTTGCTGTGGCACGTGTACAGGTACCCTGCATGTCCACATGGTCGCCATTTGCACTGCCTACTGCTCTGCAGCGGCCCTCTTGCCACACCGCAGAACTGAGTAGCTGCCACCAAGCCCACGTAACGCACACACCAAACATCAGCCCCTCTACCTCTGCAGATGGCACCTTCCAGGCAGGCTCTGGGGAGTGTAGTGGCAGCTAAGAGCCTTGGTGTTTGTATTACGGCCAGTTTTCTTACTGAGAAGTAGTTACCTTTAGACACGGACTTGATCGTAAAGGACTTAACCAAAGGAGTTAGGCCGGTGGATTATTTTTAATCAGCATTTTGTCTTCAGCATCTTCTACCCTTCCAATTTTCTGAAAGATAGGCAAATTAAACCGAAAGCATAGAGAAGGAAAGCAACCATAAAGATCAGTTCAGAAGTAGAAACAGAAAAGAGAAAATATTAAGGAAACCAGAAGTTGACAAGATGGACAGAAGATGGACAGACCTTTATCTAATAAAGAAAAAGAGAAGACAGATGTGTAAAAGCAGGAGTGTGAGCAGACAGCAGCCATCCAGACAAGGAGTGTGATGGGCAGAGAGCAAACAACCATCTGCCAGGAAACCAGACAACTCGGTGAGCCTGAGTGGAGACCCTAACATCTATTAAAATAAAAGTCCGAACAGACCTGCAGCAAGTCCAGAATAACTTCCAAACCACCCTCCTTAGATGCTCAGCCCCAAGGCTCTGTGAGGGAGTTCTACCCAGGACCCAAAGATGAAGAACACCAACCTGGGCCATTTCTGAGGAAACAGAGGAATCGATGTCCAGTTCACTGTAGGAAGGCTTCCTCGCCCTGATAGGGAGCCAAAAACTGCGGAAATGAAAACCACAGAGCAAAGTCCTCTGCACATCCAGAGGGGAAAAGTTCTCTGACTGTCATAAAAGAACGCAGTGGTGTACAAAGGGGACTCACACAACTGCCAATTAGATTTTACCCCGGAAGGAGGGAAGCTGCCCTTGTCCCTGGGTCACGTGTCCTGATACATGGATGGAGCGCACAAAGGCAGCTACCACAGCTTTTAAATGAATTCAGCAAGGTCACATGATACAAGATTGAAACAAAAAAAATTCACTGTATCCGTGCAATGAATTGCTGAAAGTGAATTAAGATGTTATTTCCACTCACAGCACCATAGAAGAGATCCACAGAGGGGAAAGACGTCTCCTCAGCAGAGAGAAAAATCTGGACCCCTGAATATTGTTTTATACAAAAATTAAAGAGCAAAAGGCCTATTTTAAGAGCTAAAATGAACTGTTGGGCCAGCCTGTGGTTTTTTAGACTCACTACCACAAGCACAAGCCATCAAGAACAACACTTTTTTTTTATAGTCTTCTAAAAAAATCAGCTTTTTTGGTTCTCACAGACGTTGGCAAAGTAAATGAAATAACAGATAAGCCAGAAATCGGGGAGAGACATCTTCACGCTACACAGGAGGTGAAGGAGGTTTACTCAAGAGTTCATTAAAAAAAATAAAACTCTTGCAACTCAGCAAGATGACCAACCACCTAATTTTAAAATTGGCAAAGTATTCGAATAGGCTTTCCCCCACAAGGGAGATAGTGGTGGAGCCAGCAAGATGGCCCAGCTGGTAAAGGCGCTTGCTACCAAACCTTAGGACCAGAGTACAATGCCCCAGGACGCCCATGGTGGAAGGAGAATCGACTCCAGCCACTTATCCTCTCTTGAACACATATGTGTTGCAACATGCATAGGCGCTGATGCACATGTGTGTGTACATACACGAGTAATACATGGATATCCATCCATCCATCCAGAGACAAGCAGATGTGACATACACGAATGGCCATCAGGCACAGTGACTAAACTTCTCCATCAGACAAACGAGTCAGAACTACAACCAAGTCAGCTTCACTATCACTAGGAAGCCTACTGTCAAAGAGTGTGATGGCATGGCGTGGAGACCCAGATGCCTCACAGTGCAGGAATAACACGACATGACAGTCACTTTGGAAAAAGCTCAAAAGTTTCTGAAAACACACGCTGACACACAGCCCAGCACATCAATCTCCAACAGACGTGAAGCAGGCCACCAGGGGGCAGTCTAGTGCCCACCAACAAGTCCAGGGACAAAGCATGTGGCACTTGCATACATACAGTAGAAGGGGACTTGGCAGTGAAAATAAGATGTGCTGGCTCCCTCATGACAGCCTCAGAGACTGCTGAGCAAGAGAGCTCAGAGACCACCATCCTGCAAAATCCTGACTTCTCGGGATGCCCATAGTGAGCAAATCCCAGGCAGGAAGTAGCTGGGCTGCATAAAGACAGGTGTGGACAAGTGGGACAAATTCTCCTGTGGGCAACAGAAAGTTCTAGAATTACATTGTGCAACAGTTCTACATCTCTGATCAAAGTACAGGTGTGAACCCCTTACATGATGTAAATTAATGTAAAAGCCTGTAAAAGAACATTTTAAATAAAGTCCTAACACCTACATGAATCCTAATCGGTATTCTCTGGCCAGAAGAGACCAGGAATACTTGACAATAACCCGGCCAGGGTCGGCTGATATGTGCCAGGAGCAAGTGCATGATCTAGAGAGACTTGGGGAATACGGTCAAGCATTAATAAAAAAAAAAAAACAACCAGTAAAGAGAAACACCATCAACGACAGCATCTGGCTACTTCAGAGTCCTACCTGCTCAGTCAGGTTATGCTCTGAAAAGATGGCAGCCTGTCAGGAGATCACGTGGCATTGTTCCCCTCCCATACATCCACCGGAGCCCCAGCCTTGTTGTAGGCATCAACAGGCAAGCATGCCTTAGCTATGCCTATGCTTATCTTTAGCACTCCCCGATCTATGCCTTGCCCTTCCCGTGTCGGCAAGCTGACCTTAGATCAGGTGTGCCCAATCTTAAACACTGGTGTGCAGTCATAAACAAATGCCTTGGGTCACACTCACAGCTATCCTGCGATGCACATGGCCCACAGGCTGTGGGGTGGACAGACCAGGCTCAGCATCCCACTGGGCAAGCTTGGCTGTGCTGTTTCTACTGAGCAGGACCAAGCGCTGGGGGCAGAAGACCTCTGCTTGTTGTCCTGTTCTTAAGCCGTGAGCCAGTAACAGACGCTGACTTAGCTTTCCTAAAATAAACCATTTATTGAAAAAGAGCCTTTTCTTCAGCTTCATTTAAAAACCTTTGCATAACAACCCTGCAGCTTGCCAACAAGGAGGCTCCACAGTCAGAGCCGAGAAACAGGAGGTTGAACTAAGGTCCTGGACACCCGGTAACACTACATTTTCTTCTGAACCCCAGAAGCTCAAAAACACTATGCTGATGTCACGGTCTTCAGTCACAGGAGAAACGGAGGAGACAGGGCGGTGGTCCGTGTGCAGTAGTCATGGCACGTCACATGCAGCTTCTCTAGCCTGTCAGCACTGTCACTCAGGGGTCCTGGGCTACAGCAGACAACAGCAGCAGCAGAAGGGAGGCTTGTCACCCGTGTAGTCTTCAGTCCTGGAAGGTTAAGAAGGCCGCCTGGACTGCAGTCTTTGTGTAAATATTACATACAGTAGTGATCACGGGATTCTGTCCACACACTGCTAGGCCACGGACTGCTTAGCCTCACTCTTCATCTGTACAAACCTGTGAGGAAGCAAGAGAGCGCTGAGGCCCTGCTAGTGGAGGCACGTTCCTGTGTGTGCATGCTTGGCCTCTGGCCCACAGGCAAGGCCTAGTGACCCGCTGGCACCAGCCCCCCGACATGTGAAGGAAGACTCAGGAAACAGACCTACTGCGTGTCTGTTCTCAGGAAAGGCTGAGCTGAACACAGGACAGCTCCTTCAGGGCAGTGTATTTCATCTATTTCAGAGCTAAGAAGCACTGTTCCCTCATTACCTGTCCCCAGTGTCTCTTGTAGCCAGCCCACACATGAGCTCATGTCCCACTGGCCACCCTGTATCAGGGACTCCTGGGCAGGGTCCTTAGCTATGTATCAGTGTGTGGTGTGTTCTCATCCCCCAATCAACACTCCTAACACTTCCCCAGCGACTCCTGTGTGCCTGCTCTCTACTGCAGCCCACTGTACTGTGGCGATCTCTTGACTGCCAGTCCTAAGGAACGAGACACCCCCCTAAAATCCCAAGCAAGTGTTTCTAACAAACCTTGGAAAGATCTTACCAAGGAGACCGCCGAAGCCTAGACAGCCCCAACCTACTGCCCTTTGGCTTTACTGCGGGGGATGCAACCTTCATATGACTCAAGGAGCCAGGAGGTGGGGCCACCCCAGATACCTCCAACCTGCTCCTCAGTCAGGGCCATTCCAACTCCTCAGCACAGCTGAGGGCCACCAGCCATGTTGTTTGTTAGCCGAGACCCCTTTGCTGCTCCTTGATCTTTTCCAGCCTTATCTTCTACCAGACCTCATGAACACAGAGCTCCTCATTGACCCTGCCCACACCAGGCCCTCATGCCTGACACCTTGTCTGTCCCTCTGCCTGGCCACACCCTCTCAGAGACTGACTTCTAAGAAAGCCCTGCCTAGGGCTACCACAGGGCGCTAAATGCTGGGCCCCACTTTCCATCACACATGCATCACTGCTGCCCACAACAGTGACAGGTCCAAGATGACCACATTCTCGAGGGCAAGAACTACGCTCGCCTCCTGTCAACAGATCATGAAGAGGGCCTTCGTGAGCGTTTCACTAACTGAAAACAGATCTCTGATACACTAAGACATTTAGCTCCTGTCCTTTTAAACAGAAGTATTTTATATTTAAGTTTCCAATGGCTTGTGCTAGACGCAAAGCCGAACTTAAGTGTTTGACCCCGAAGAGGGCGATTTCACAATCGGGCAAACCTTGACAAAAGCGTGGTCGAGGAGCTGGCTGGCTGTCCACCTGATCTTCGGGTCACTTTCCAGGCAGTGCGAGAGAAAGTCCTTCCCTTCGGGGCTTAACCTTTCCGGGATTGGTGGCTTGTGTCCCATTCCCACCTTGTACATAATCTGAAAGTTGTGTTCATACTCATGCCAAGGCCGCTGCAGAGACAGGGAAAACAAAACAGAACAGGCTTCAGCATTACACGGTCACAGCAACAAATACCCAATCCCTCTCTAGGTATCTCCAGAAGACATCTGTCCGGGGAAGCAAACACTCGCTGGCAAGAACAAACAGGAAACACATCAGGCTTAGAGTGCATACAATGTCTGTCAGAGCGTCAGTCAACACTCACAACAGCGTCCTGTGCTCCAGTGAGGCTGCCTGTCTAAACAAAGGCAAGCAGCTACAGTTTGCACCGTGCTGGGTTAGGCCATTAGCTCTGTGTCATCTAGAGGCTGTCGCTACAAAAGTGAGAGATGATAAAACTCCATGGTTCTTGACCACTTTGTGGAATTATGAGAATCCCATCATCACAACTCTTATTTCATTGTGACTATAGAGAAATGAGATCCGGGGAGAAGGAACTAGGTCTACACGCACCCCAATTTACATGCTACTCTTTAGTTACTGCCAACATGTACTCTGCAGCCCACCTGTTCATGCATGACTAGAATAAAGCAGGCACCATGGCCACCTTCCCACTCCACGCTAAGGGAAGAGGGAGCATTCACCCTGAGCTATGTATGTATGTATGTATGTATGTATGTATGTATGTATGTGTATGTATGTGTATGTGCATATGTGTGTGTGTGCATGTGTGTGCGTGTGTGTGCGTGTGTATGTGTGTGTGTGTGTGTATTCTCTCTGCAGCTGCCCCCTAGTAACACTTGGGTTCCTAGTCATTGTGCTACATAAATAATACCAGACAGCAGTCACATACTATATGTGCCTGTGTGAATGTGTACACACAGACACACACACACACCTGTGTAACTACTATCAAATGTATCCCACACTGTGTCGTTACTCATCAGCAGGACTGTCACCAGAAGTAAGGTTTCCATGGTCTAGGGAAGTACGTTTACGTTTCACCGTATAGAAAAGAGTTCTCCAGAGTGAGCTTCCACTGAGAATTTTTGTCTGAAGCATGACTGTTTTCTCACACCTCTCTTAGTGTGAATATCATAAATCTTATAAATGTTATTCATGTGCTAAGGAAAAATTAATTTCACTTTTAAATGCACTAATCTGGAGATGGTGAGGATGCTATCTGTTTCTTTTGAACAACCAGGCTTGCTTTTTTAGTGTAGTTCACGGTAACGGAAACCTTGACTGGGAAGCAGTGGGCCCTCAGGCACCCTCACGCATGTCTTGTCTCCTCACTCTCCCCTACTAGCTACAATTATTGACAGTTGGAGAATCAATGTCTGTACTGCTGCTAACGAACACGTACCATCAGGGCTCACTCTCTGTCTCATACATTCTGTGAGTTTAGACACAAGTGTGATAGGAATCCATTATCCACAGTGGTTTGAATGTGAACTGTCCAGGCTGGAGAGATGGCTCAGTGGTTAAGAGCACTGGCTGCTCTTCCACAGGTCCTGAGTTTGATTCCCAGAAACCACCTGGGGGCTCACAACCATCTGTAATGGGATCTTATGCCCTCTTCTGGTGTGTCGGAAGACAGCTAAAGTGTGTTCATATGTATAAAATAAATAATTCTGAATGTGAACTGTTCCCCATGGGCAAAGTGTTTGAACATTTGATCCCCAGCAGGTGGTGCTGTTTTGGAAGGTTGTGGACTCTTTAGGAGGTGGGGCAAGATGTACTAGGGTAGGTCTTGAAGTTTTATAGCTTGGATCCACTTCCTGTCCCCTTGCCTTCATAACTGTTACTATGATGTCACTAGCTGTCTCAAATACTTGCTTATCTGCCATCCCTTAAAGTCAGGATGGACTTAAACTATGAACACTTTCTCTCTTAAGCTGTATTTTGAAGGCATTTGGGTACCACAGTGACAAAGTCACTGATACAGTAAGGGTTTCGTCATCCCAAGAATCCCTTTCCATTGTTTAGTCCTTTCCTTCTTACCCTTGTAACCACGATCTTTTGTCAATTCTGAAATAGGGCCTTGCCATGTAGCCCAGGCTGGCCTTATAACCCACCCACCTCAGCCTCCCAAGTGCTGTGGTTACAGAGCTGTGTGCTTGCAGTCCTGCCTCCCACAGTCTGTGAGGGACCCTCACCAGTCTGTGCAACGTCGAGCACCTCTCATCTCTTCCCTCTCGCCTTTCAGAGGATCTGAAGCAGTTTCTTCACACCAGTGAGTAACATCCCTTGTATGACGTGACACAGTTTGTCAATCCAGTTACCCCAGTTTGTTATTTCTCTGAACCTTCCTGCACTTTATCAGGAGCTCCATTGACTCTCTGGTCATGAGCTCAAGTAGGAAGGTACCCACAGCACTTAGGATAAAGCCTCAGCTCTGTGGGTGACCTGCATAGAGTCTTCCTTCTGGTGCACAGGGAGCTTACCTTGCCAGTCACCATCTCTATGACGACGCACCCCAGACTCCAGATATCTGCCGCACGTCCGTGGCCTTCTCCTTTGGCTCGGGTAATAACTTCAGGGGCCATGTAAGCTTTACAGTCAGATATGGAAATAGCACGGGTTACCAGCACAGCACTACATATCAACAGCACCAAGCACCATGCTAATAATCCTCAGTGATGTCCTTCACCCAGGTACAGGCAGCACGTGTTGAAAGCTTTCATCTCAAATCAACTTGAGGGACATTTTAGGGACAGAATTTTGTTTTAAAAAGCAACCCTGAATGCTAAAATTTCTAGTAAATTGTATTCTTAATTGAAACAGGGAATTTAACCTAACACCAAACAACTACACCAAGCAGTAAGCATGTGACTGGTGATATAACCAGCAGTTTCAATCCCAAATGCTAAGCTCCTCCTAAGAGGCAAAGAGGCCTTCCTCAGGTCAGAGCTCAGAGCCGGCTGGACCAGCCCTTACCTGCTGTCCCTAGGGTGCTGTTCACCTCGCCAGGCATGGTCTGGGCGTTGTTTTTAAGTTTTACTGAGCATCCAAAGTCTCCCAGTTTGATTAGTCCAGACGACGTAAGGAAGATATTGGCACCTAAACAGAAATAAGCAGCTGCTGAGCGGGCTCTGAAACACAAATGCGGGGACCTCAACAAATTCACATGGCAACCCAGACTCCAAAGACTTCATTCACAAACTAAATAAAACGAGGTTCTGTGGCACTCCACTTCCACGCGCAACCACAGGAAAATGTATGGACCACGACAAACTAACGCAAATCAACACAGACTTCAGAGCAGACACTCAGAACTGAGAGACAAACAATTCATCAAAAACTCAGACACACTTACAGAGAAGTTTTATAGACAACCCAGCTGTGTGTGGAAGTGCTTGAGCACTGTGAGCATTTGCTAAGGGCAGGCTCTCTTCTGTGTAGAAAAGGATGCACAGAAGAGAACCTGCAAACACTGCAAACATCGGGGACTGCAGAGTCCAACACAGAGGCCGCCTCTGAGCTCATTTTAACTGTAACTGACAACAGTGCTGTGTATTTTCCATTCCAGTGTTCCTACAATCAACACACAGCCATCACCCTCCTGAGGGGATGTAGGGTCACTGCTCATCTCAGGGCAGCCGATGTTAGGATAAACAAGACAGCATGACTGATATTATGTCATACACACCTTAAAAAGTGAGACAGTGTTCACACTGGATACTCATGAACTTCCTTCTGGCATCCATCCTTCCTAGCTAGAGCCTCCCAGAGTTGGTCTCTACAACAACTGTACAGTAACATTTTGAAACTGTTCTCTATCTGTCCGTTCTTAACAACCAAGCATTTGATGAGGTCACCAGAAGCTAAACTGACTTAGGACTCGGAGAATCCAGCATGGGGATATACAGACTGAGTGTGGAGTGTGAGCAGGACAACTGGATCTGGGCAGGGACAGCTAAGCAAATGCCGAGACCGACCCAGCCATGTGGCACAGGACAGGCAGCGTCAAGCTGGCACAGCAGACCCAGGCCAAAGCAGCTTCCGGTGTAACTGCACAGAACTGGGTCTAGACCTTGGTCTTGAGTGTCTGGGCTAACCTCAGAATACAGTAGGATAGCACTCTCAGCCACCTAGGGATGAGAGCATCCTCCTGCTTGAATTATCTCCCAAACTACTCAGAAAGGTCAGGGTCACGGTGTGGCTCAGGGTCACGGTGTGGCTCAGGCACTGGTCTGCTCTGGAGTGAAGCACAGCTACTCTCTTGGGATGGAAAAGCATACTACACAAACTTTACCTCCAAAGACACAGGTCTGTCTCCAAATGCATGGTCTGTCTCACAGGCGTTTTGGATTCAGACTCAGTTCACGTACTTACAACATGCATTTGGACAGAGAGCACAAAGACCCTGACACAGGTTAGGAAAGGGAGTTTTATAACGAGGGCTCAGCAGGCAAAGTAAGCCACACCAAAGCAGGCTGCAGAAGCAGCACACTTCATTTCCAGGAAACTGATTTCTCTAAAGTGGGCTGCACAGGTGACAGTGAGGACTTCCTAATGCACAGACACCTGGGTTCTGTCATTCCTTGGCACAGGGGCCACTTTAGAAGTGCTTAAAGTGAAGGCACATCCACCTGAAGTAGCAACAGGTGTGAAGGCACAGCCACCTGAAGAAGTAACAACAGGTGTGAAGGTACAGCCACCTGAAGAAGTAGCAACAGGTGTGAAGGCACAGCCACCTG